AAACTGCGTTTGTTAAAATGACTTAAATATGTACTATTCCTCCCGGTGTCAATTGATTTTAAGATGAAAATCATGAATATTAATATGGTATTAGAGTTTAAAACGCTTAAACGAGCCACCTATAAAAAAAAGATCCGACTAAGATCGATGAGCCAAAAAGAGTGAGAGGACATGTTATGAAACCCCATAAATATTAATATTCACTGTCGTTAAACTTTTTACAAATAAAAAACAAAAAATATATAAAAATAGAATTTTTTAACAAAAATAACAAGCTGTCGTGGAATGAGATAGATGTTCACTCTCATTAGTATTGTATTATACAAAAATTCAAACGTATTGTAAAAAATAATTAAAGAGGTTTTCGAGAAATTTGAGTAAACTGTTAAGGTGGGATTTTAAAATTCTAAAATTACAAGGGTTGAGTTGGAAGAAAAAGATAGCTGACGTGGGTAGTGAAAACATGTGATTGGACAATATTACAGAAATGGGGCGTGGGGTCCAGCCATGTTTCTTTTTAGATCACACGGTTACAATTACAATTTTACACTGTTACAAGCAGTTAATTTGATTTGGATATGATGATAAATTAATAAAAAGGTAAAAAGGAAAGGGTGGGGCCCGCGAACTTAGCTGGGTAATCCTAATCAGTGGGTGGATTTGCTTAAACACAAAGTCAATAATTAGAGGATATTAAATTATGATAATTAAGAGGTGAGATTTCTTTATTTGCCAAATTCTACGGTGGCAGTAAAACAATGGTTTTTTTTTATTTTCCTTTTTTTGTTTTCCAAATTCCAATGTAATTATTTTTCCTTTTTGGGTTGTACTTGGACCACCGACACTTTTCAACTACAAGTCCTCGAGTTAAAATACCGATTACGTCCTTTTACCTTTTTTTTTTTTTTCAAAATAAACGTTTAAATTGCCAAAAATAAAAATTCATTTTCTGTACTGTAGAGTTTAAAAAAATTATATAGAGAGAGCTTGCATATTAGTTGGAGAAGAGCGGTCGGTTTGTACTCGGTGTAAGCAGAGTAATTAAAGTTTTATCCAAAAAAAGAATAATAATGATACCAAATAATTTTATGATAATTATGTTCCCGAAAAAAAATTATGATAATTATAAGCTCTACTAATATAGGATTAAAAGCATGTATCCGTTTATCATACTCATCTCATGAATGTGTGGGGACTAATATTATCCGTTTTAATTATAATACGGATAAAGATTTTAATGCATGATTAATGGTTGATAGAAAATTAAAATTAAAATAAAAAAAAAGAACCCTTTTGACGGCACTATAATATAATAACACATCGGAATAATTAATGTTTTTTTTTACCACTTTTGATATATCTCAAAGTATACGAAAAATTTTGTCGACAAATATTTTAGATCAATAAATAAATTTTTCTTCTGTACAACACGTGGGGTGGGATAAGATAATCTTTGAATCGAAGACATATATATAATTGGGTTCTATTGTGATATAAATTTTGTCAAACAGAATATTTCGTAAAGAAAAATCATGGCATAAATACATGCATTGGTCTCTAGATTAAATTTTAGATGAAAAAATCCCTATTATAATTGACTGTTATATATATATTAGGATAATTGTTATATTTATAAAATTGAAATTTTTTAAAATTTGGCGTATATATATAATCGATTCATTTAGGAAAATTTATACAAAATAATACAAAGATGAGCTTGCTGGGACGCCTTCATGAACAAAACTTGATGCTCCACATTGATCAGAAATTGTTGTGGGCATCTTTTGGGCTACAGATCCAACAAACAAGGCCCAGTAATAATAGAGTTGGGCTTGGCCCAGCTGTCTAAATGGGCTCATATCTTAACCCGTTCTAATGTTACGGATCTATTTGAATTCAACACAGTTCAAATGGTTTTTGTTTTTTCAGTTATTTTCGTACTTTTACAAAGTGGGTCCTAAATTCAGTTTATATATAAATATAAATCAAATCAAATGATTAGTATATTTTCAAAGAAAAAAAATCAAATGATTAGTATAGACAAGAAATATTAGTTAGTTAAATCACCCATTGTTCATGTCCAAAAGAGAAAAATCACTTTTTTTAAGACAAGATACTTTAGTAAAAGAAAAAAATCACTTGCGTCTTTCTTCTTATTTTGTTTTTAATATATATATATATATATATATATATATATATATATATATATAATGTTGCATTTTAATTCTAGAGTGGAGATTTGAATTGTCACACTTAAAAAAATGTTATTATATCTTAATCCATTATTAATTTAATAAGGTAATAAACTTGGTTATTTCATATAATTTGATATTTAAATTTTATATGACCAACATATAATTCATCAATAAAAACATATACTTTTTCCCTCTTTTTTGTTTTTTTTAGTATAATAAGCAATGAAGTTAAATTTTGTACCGCTATTCATATTTGAACATTCCTACTGGATTAAAATACATTTTTGAAACTTACCACACACATATATATATATATATTTTTGGGATTTGTACATTACATACTATTTAGAGATACTAATTACACAAAGAGATTCATTCTTTAAAAATTACACTTTTGTCAAAAAATACACCCTTTAAAATGGAACCTACCATTATACCCTCATTTTTATATAATGTGTAATTAATATTAAATTATATAAAATTTGAATGAAAAAATTGTGGGATTATATTTTAAATCCCACCATTACAGCTTAATAAAAAGGAGGACATAACATCCCTAATTTGAAATGTCTCCATTAATTGGTAAATCTCCATTATTGCCTTTTTGTTCCACAGAAACCGAATAGTCGTTTCATCTTCTTCGTTATTCTTGCATCCAAGACCAACAGAGGGTATTAGCATTTTCCGTTTGACGGTAGTCGGTAGTATGAAACTTCAAATTTTCTTCCAAATTTGGTATTTTTCGACCGTCGGAGGTAAGTATTTTCCTAACGTTGAGTATCGTTTATAACTTATGGGTTTTTGGGTTTGGACATCATGGGTCTCTTCAAAGTTTTTTCCAAAATGGTTTGTCTTGATATTAATGGACCATTCGAAGTTCAAGACATATATAGATTACATCTTGCTTGTTGTATCCGTAGGAACTCATTTAGAGTAAAGCACGATATTAACATCAGATTGAATCGATCTTTTCAAATTTACCGAACATTAGTATCGTTCTCTTCAAAAGTAGTTGATTATGTATAATATTAGATTGAAATATTTTGGTTTATCAAATTTGGATTAAAACAGAATTCTTATATTTTTTCGGGAGGTTGTTTGATTTGGTTTGTTTAATATATAGGTATATAATCGTATATAGGAATATTGTTGTATTGCCAAACAAATAAAGATTAAAAGAAAGGTTTAGAGTTGGAAGAGCTTTTAAAAGTTGAATATAGTAGTATATAGTTTATAACTCATATATCAGTTCCAATGAGAACGAATATAATTTATGTCTACATATAAATGTATGTTATAATGGTTGTTGTTATAATCCTCACTCCAAGTGTTATCCTACTTAAGTTTTCTTAACATAAGAACTCAATCGCTGGATATATTTTATATTTATCATATATGTTATCTTGTAATGGTATTTGATTCCATTTGTTGATAATGTTATAAGGAGTAATTCATAATAATAAAGCATGTGCAAAATTGAGCTTTGTGTGTTAATTGTGGTTTGATATAACACTATATAAGTTTATATTAGATCGAGAATTCAAAAATTATTAATTATATCCGAATGTATTTTATATCTATAAATAGGTACCAAGTGTGTAGGTAATGAGATGTGTTATATCTATGAATAAGTACAAGGTTGGTAGTTGATGCATTGTATTTTATATCTATAAATAAGAAACAAGATGGTAGATTATATAAGTTTATGTGATCCATCAATACATATCGTTTATATCCGTCTGTTCTACATATCGTTTATATCTATAAATTATTCTCCATAAGTTCGAATGGTAGAGACATAATACAGGTAAAACGAGCATAGTTCAGCGGTAATTGACATATAAAAAATAGAGACAGAATACATAGGAATATATATTATATTCATAATAATATTTGGTTTCAAAAGTCTTGACAGTACATATGAATAATTAATTGTTAATATTCTATAATAATCATGATATGCAAATTATATTATACTTTAAAGATGTATATACAAAGCATTAATTACATCGCTAATAATATTTGATTTCATAAGTACAAGTAGCATATATGTTATGACCTATATAAACCATTAACATAAAAATGAAATAACGATATATAGATAAACTATAATTTAAAAACAATAACATTCCATCATACCCATATTTCTTTTATTGTATAGATCAATTATATTTTCTCATTCTTTCAATATTAGCGTCAATCAATTCGTGCTTTTTGTGACTTATCTTCCATTTATCACAAAATAATAATAAATAATAAATAATAAATAAATACATAAATACATAAATCAAATGTCAAAGTAAAGCATGAGGAAGAGTCACCATCTAGAGGAAAGCAGCAGCCATGGGATATAAACGGTGAACAGTAAAACGTGAAAAGTTAAATGCACAATTAATTCATGAGCAGCATGTGAGCAGTTGAGCAGTAGCAAAACGAAATAATCTCTTCTTATCAACAAATATTTTGCACAAAAGAACATCTACTCTATCAACAATTGATGTTGGATCGTGGGAAGAAATTAAACATACAGAAAATCGTGAGTAAAGAAACTAGGAGAATATCTGTATTTGCATGACCCCGGCAGATTTTACTCTATCTACACTAGGAGCTTTGAAGAAAGGAGGATATCCTGAGCCGAAGGAGAGGGATGCAGTCTCTCCCTTGGTCTTTTGAGAGGAGAAGATCCTCCCACTAAGCAGCACCTTAGGATGGCCTAAATTGCAAACCACGATTCAGTTTAACGTGAGTGTATAATTGGAAAACCTTTTTAGCTCTCTATTTTTTTTTAAGTAACACCTACTTCTGACTAAGAAGTTGTAAGTTTACATTACCGCTCCTATGTTATATTAAAGAAAAGTAAATGATTATTTATTTTTTCTTGCTACATGACACTTATTATATTAAATTTTTAAATTTTTGTACATGGTGTTTGTAAAGTCTTCTAACTTCTTTTGTTATTCATAAAATTCCATTTCACGCAAATAAAGGGTAAAATACATTTATATTATCATCTGAATACGCCAAAAAAACTAACCGTGTTATTTTTCTTTATTACATTGACTCTGTTCACAGTGAAGACTAGGGTTGAAACATTTTCAAACTCAAACTTTATAAAATTTTGACACACCAAATTAAAAATGATGGTAGAACTCAATGTCCAAAACTACAATATAACCTATAAATTAAAAGGGAAAACATTTTTCAATTTGTTGATTTTTATATTTCTAACAATTTAATTTTGTCCATTTATTCTCAATAGAGTTTCGATACATTTCTAAGCCATATCACCTTACCAATTTTGATATTCTTTTAGATTTAAATACTATTTTAATTGCAATATTATAGATTTAGATTTGTTTTGTTCTCTACTCTCAAAATATACATATTGATAAAGTTATGATCATTTTAGTATCTAAGTTCGTTTTGATTTCGGTTCTTCCAACAAAATTACCATTTCAATCATTATTTACAAAATTATAACACAATTTTTATACCATACAAACCATTTGATATAAATTTATTGTTACATTTTTAGAAATTCAATGAATTAAGTGTCATACTAAAATTTTAATTGAAATAAATGAGATAAAATAATGAAAAAGACCAAAATAATATTTGATTTTTTCTTTTGTTTGGCACCAAACAAACATCCTTGTGAAACTAAGTCACTGGTATCACCAATCCACGTACCAACTAAAAATAGTACTAAATCTAAAACATAATTTAAACGATAAGATTAAGATAAGATGATGAGGTTAGTCTCAATGGCCAACTCTAGGAGACCAAGAGGCACGGATTCAAATCCCTCATCCCACCCCCATTTGCTGAACTGAAAAAATAATAATATTAAGATTATAAAGAAAATTAAACTTTAATAATTTTGAAGCATTAAACTTTAGTGGTGGATTCGGGATCCCTTCCTTTAGGCATATAATACGTTGTATGCAAATGCATCTCCAATTCGCCAGCCTGTTGCTATTTTAATTTTCTGACACACATTGCTTCCACCACAATTAAGCATATGCCTCCTACATTTTACATATACACATAGGGTTTTTTTAAATACTATTTTCTCTCTCTACTTTAAAAAAGTCTTCATTGTTGTTATCTTAAAACTTATCTATTTTCTTCTTTATTTGTAAAATTTTTAACATAAACTTTATACACTAGGAAAATCCTCTTATATATTTCTGTAGTTTTATTTCAAAAAGAAATTTGTGAGTGAAATATTATTCTAAAATTATAACAGAAAAAAAATGAGATAAAAATAAAAATGATAGACTAAAATTGTCACTTTTGGAAAAAAAAAGGATATTTTGAGAGCACACCATTAAAATGAATAAAAATGGAATGTACGTGAAACAAACTAAATCTTTTGGAGTATAAGGCCTAACCAACTAAAAAGTCAAAATAGTATTAAAAAAAATTTCTCACGACTGTTTCTTTTTTCTGTCAGTTTAATTTTTTCAAATGTTTCATAATTACAACTGGACTATTCATATTCAATGCCAAATTCTACAATAAATACAAATAGTCGTTATGGTTTGCTTTTGACATTTTCTCCTTAATTATTTTTTAATAAAAATTAAAACGGTGCACAGGAAAAAACAGAGCCCAATGTGGAGTCGTTTTTCCCCCCACGTGCAACACGAGACCAGATTCCAATTTACCGAACTACCCCTATCCCCTCCTGGGGTTGTTAAGCTGTAAGACACAATACCCTATAATTATTAAGCTATTTTGGCTATTATGCCGACACAGTGACCTGTCTGTCAGATTATCGAGATGGAGCAATAAATGACAGCTTATCAGATGGAGTGATGGAGGATGTAATTGGAAATTAAAATAAATTTATAAACATTGGTGAAGGGAAACGGAAAATAGTCGACGGGCAAACTTGATGGGAATAAAGAAAAAATTTCAGCGAATAAAAGTTGCAAAAAGAGAGAAAGGAAGAACAGTAGATCTGCTTTTGTTGGCTTTAGTTGCTAGAATGCAATTTGTAAAACTTGAAATTTCAAACTAATCCTTGAGAATATCAAAAATTAGAAAGCCCGACCCCAAGAGAGTTGAAAATTATTTTTTTATTTACCTTGCTATTGCGCGTTCCCTCTGCCGACCATCTCCTTGTACTTGAGAATGGATTCCAGCCTCTGCAACTTCAGCTGTTGCTTGAATTTGTTGATGAAGTCGTCGGCCTTGGCGTCCACTTCGTCGTCTATCTCCGTTATTTTGTCCCTTCCTTCTTTCACGGTGGCCGGACGGCGACTCTCCACGATTTCCTCCGCTTCGAAATGCGAGAATGCAGACTTAGAACTCGCCGATTTCTTCATCTTCCTCGGCAGTCTCGTCGTGAACTCACCGGCCGTCGGCTTCGTGTCGGATTTCGTACGGTTGAAGTGATCGCCGTTC